CCAAAGGTCAAGGTCTGTTTTCCCCAAACTCCACCAGTGTTCACATTTGGGCATATTGAGTATTCGAGCCAAGTTTGGTCCAGACCCATCATTGTTTGAGTCCACAGTGGTCTCTGAATGTAAGTGAACTACAACTCCAAAACTCAAGGTTAATGCCCACCAAACCCATCTATTATTTTCTGTTGGTCATGGGAGTTCTGTGTGCCAAGTTTGGTTCAATTCCATCATTGGTGGAGTTCAGAATGCTCTTGGATTTTAAGTGAACTATAAATCACAGCAACTGACAAAAATCAACACGCACACACACACACCATCCCACCAGTATTCAGATTTGGGTGTATTTAGTATTTGCCAGATTTGGTCCAGTGAATGAAAATAATATTCTGCATATCAGATATTTACCTTACGATTCATAAAAGTAGCAAAATTACAGTTATGAAATTGCAACAAAAATAATGTTATGGTTGGGGGTCACTGCAACATGAGGAACTGTATTAAAGGGTCACGGCATTAGGAAGGTTGAGAACCACTGCTTATAGATATAGTCTGTAATTAATACTTTAAATCCCTTGAAACAATAAAATGTTAGTTCTATTAATTTTTAAAGTATGAAGGCCTTGCAAATAGTGTTGGAAATTTAAAATTATGTAAGCTGTAGTTGATTCCCTGCAACATATAGAAATGTTGGTACTCTTCTGATGTCTGTGCCTTTGTAGATGTTAATATTTCTGAACAGTGTGTGCCTTAGTACAGTAGAACTCAGTGGTGATTCTCCTAATGGAGCTTTCTTTACCCTACATCCAAGAAGCAAGGAATGCCAATCTCTGCTATTGATAGAAAATTCTTGGCAAGCAAAGAGAGACAAAAATAGTAATTAATCTCTAGAGTCTCAACCATCTCCATTTGTATTTGTGTGCACGCATGCGTGTGCTCTCTTTCAGCATCTGAGTGAAGGAAGAAATTTCTTCTGCATTTTAGCCTCTGTGGCATTTAGTACTGAATGGTGGGACATGTTAAGAGTTATAAAAGCTTATAGCAGTTTGCGTTTGTAACAAAATGCATGGCCAAAATGTTACCATGAAACTCAGTATAATGATACCAAGCACCTAACTATAGCTGCAAAGGCTATTTTATTGCTCTTTGCTCATTTTGTAAAGTTTTTGTGTGAGCGGGGAAAAATGGAAATTATTGGGGCTTTTCACATTTAGGACAAGTGAGCAATGAACTGATCTAGTGACCACTTGAGATCTTATAATTATGAAAAGCTTTCAGATCTTAAAACAAGTTTTAATCCTTCCTGTTAGAATACTTGATTTCAAATGGACTGCAGTGAATTTTTTAATTAAAAAATCTGATAGTTATACTTTGATCGGATTAGACTTGAATCACTTAACCCCTAAAACTGCCTTCTGTTCTTTAAACATTTAGGATTTGCTACATTGTTATCTGTGCTGAGAGCTTTAAAAATTGTACTTTTCAATGAAAACCAAACGATCTAAAGCACCTATAAATCTTCTTAGAAATATTATTTTATAGAATACATGAGATTTGTGTATAGTTCTCTCTCAATATGTTAATTTTGCTCAGTGTAGATTATTGTGAATGATAACTTGTGATAAAAAGCTCTGAATTTTAATACACAGCTTAAACAAGTTGAAGTCTAAATGGTAATCATGAAAAGTATGACAAAGTTCAGTGTGTAATAATGGTTTTCTGTTAGGGTCTTATATTGTGTTTATGCATATATTTGGTCAGGTGGTGTTTTCCTTTTGAACAAAATGGAAGGAGCACTTTCTGGATCCTGTTCATTGGTAGAAAGTGTGTGTGTCTAACCTAGTAGGAAATTTCTGGGTTGACAAATGTGTCATTTTGCCATGTGTTCCTAGCATGGCACTGTTTAAAATTGGAAGTGTGTTATCTGTCTTCCATCTCTTCATAAGATTCAACAAAACTCAGGAATAAGATTGATGTTCAAAATTCAATATTATTTTCTTAATACCCCCGCCCCCAAATCTCATCTCAGCATTTTTGTTTCCAGGATGGAAAAAGATAGCTCTGATTATTATCAGGCAGGGCCATTTTTCACATATTACATTTTCATATACCACAGAGAGAGTATTATTTCCATGTTTCAATATAAGTAGAGTAAGAAGCATTTGCAAAAGTTCCTTTAAATTGAGGTACGTAATAGGCTTGCCAATGGAAAGATGCAGTCAAGTGGCATCTGATTCTGGTAACTTTTATTATGTCAGCAAAGTTGACATCTATTTTACTGTCAAGAGATTACTGGATAATACTCACAGCATCCAGTCTTTGGTGGACTGTATGTAATTTTCTATTTTGCCAACAATTTCTCTCCTCATCCCAATCTATGCAGGCTAAGTCATGCATGAGGCAGCAAACAAACTCTTTAATAATTACTGATGAACATTGCTATGGGGCAGAGAAATTCCTGTAGTCTGCCATGGACAAATTTACTCTGTTGATAAAGGAAGGAACATTGTACAGTTTCTGGTACAAAATGCTAAGCAGAAATTAAAGCTACAGAAACATCTTGTACCATAAATCTTTAGACTTAGGTAGAAGTTGTTTTCTTTTTAAAATGCACTGGATTTCTTGTCATTTTCATATTCATAATGCCTGAAACTAGATTAATTTCTGAGTGGTATGTTGTTATGCATTTAATCTAAAAGCCTTTTAAATTCACTTGATGTCATTAACTAACATTCTTACACTGAAGTTAATTTGGGAAATCAAAATGTTGAGCAGGATTACAGTAAAACAATTAAAATCTTGATAGTATGCTTCTGCTCTGATAGGGTGATGAGAAGGGGAAATAGCATTTATTACCATATTTCAGTACCATAGTAATCATTCTGTAGGATTTTGTTTTGAGAATTGTGGTTGGTGTAACATTATAGCATTTACAGTTTATTTTATATCATCGAATGTTCAGGGTTCATAAGCCAGACTCTGTTATCTACATTCTTTTCATGAAGTGGTATAATTTTGGCTGGGATTTGAAGCCAAAGGAAAACATAAGACAGAGGGTTAATGTGTATAAAAACATCCCCTCCAAGCCATGACATCTGTTTTACACTCTGATACATGTTACAATGTGGTGTCAGTTTGCTTTAAAAAATGTTCTTAATTTTTTTTTTGGTTGGAATATATAGAAAGCATTACGTATATGTATTTGTGGATCCTAAGACCTAATAAAAACATTTGTAGCATTTGGGGCCTTTTACAGTGACTTGTGGATATTTATTCTCTTGCTCAATGTTTCTAGATTTTAGACCAGGAATATACTAACAGTGGTTTCAAGTACAATTGTCTCACATTTAATGTCTGCTCCTTGATCACTATAAAAATGATATGTCAAGTGTTGAAGCTAATTTTTCCTCAGTACTTGCGTGATGTTTAAAAATGAATCTGTGGCAATGTATTTGTATTATGTTATCTGATGTATTTCCTTTTTTCTTTTACATTATATATACAGTACCGCCTTTACACAATAAAAATGTATTTTAAAAAAAATGATTCCGTGGCTGCATTATCTGCAGAATCTGTGGAAGCATTCTTATCTTCTCATATGTTTTCTAAGATGTAACTACTGTTGGAAAAACAACAGTAATTGAAACTTGAAAAGAGAAAATGCCATTACAGTGTCCTGAGATTTAGAACCACTACTTTTGTTCTTTCTTTGAAGAACTTGTAAGTTTGAGCTGTAGAGATGATATCCTTCATAGATCTTAAAGAATATTTATTGAAAAGTATTGCACTGATGATGGGATATGTGTGTGTGCATATTACTATTTATAGAATTACTTTCTATAGTCAGAAACATCACAATTCTTTGGGTGCCCACAGTAACATTGAAGTGTACTTGTCAGCGCTGTAAGCTTACGTTTAATATTTGTATGTTCCTGCAGCCACTGGCAAAAACCTTGAATATAATTCTTTTGAGTAGTAATGGTAATTTTCTTGTTTAATATTAAGCAATGCCATTCTTCCACTAATATTAAGCAATGCCATTCTTCCACTTTCACTTCAATCCATGTAGAACTTACAAAACAGCCTTATCTGCTAGTCAGGAAGATTTGGGAATGCTTCAGTGTTTTAATCTCTGTAAAATCGCTAATAATTATTGAATGATAACATTTAAATTGTACTTATAAGTTTAGAAATGAGTTTAACCCAATATGTTTCTCTAGTGAAAAGGGAGAGGTGCTTGTTCATATACTTCCAGATAAAGGCCAAGATTTTCAGAAATGAAGCATTAAATCGAATGCTGTACCAGAGACCAGAGTTTATAATACTTTATGTGACCGATTGTGCAGATGTCTAGCCATCCTGACCTAGTTTGTGAAAAACTAATTGAATCATTTCCAGGCATGATTATTGAGTTGATTGTAGCATAGAGAGATTCTGCAATATACAAAAAAAAGGTTGCCACAAGCATTTTCAGAGGTTATATCCATTAGGATGAAGCTGGTAGTGTCAGTAATGTGAATCTACAGATATGTAAGTTCAGTTATACTTAGGTTATTGCCCAAATTCACAGCATATTTTGGGTTCATTTTTCTTAGTTAAGAAATGTTCTCAAACCAATTTCCAACTCTTTGACTCTACCTGCTGTCCACCCTTCCAATGAATTCAAACATGTGATTATTGGTTCGTAAAATTAGGGAAATTTTGTCATTCTTAATATAGTATAATTTAGTTTGAATGCAATCAGTTGTCATATTGAATGAGACAATTTCTACTCAGACATAACCTCGAATAAAAATGCAAGGAAGAACCAATGCACATAACTGATAAACATAGACTTGATGAAGCTAAGCAGAAGGTAGTTGTGCTCTGAAAGAGTATTGCCTTGAAATAGCTGCATGATGACATTTTTATATCTTTTATTTTGATTTATATATAAGTATCAACTTTTTCAGAAAAGTTGTCACGTATTTCAACATTTGTCTTTGCTTTGTTCTTTATTTATTTAGGATTCAAGTGCCCTGTTTGTTCCAAGTTTGTATCTTCGGATGAAATGGACTTACATCTTGTGATGTGCTTGACAAAACCAAGGATAACATACAATGGTAAGAAAGTAAGCTAATTACTACTTGTAATACAATAATTGGATTGATACTGCATCAGCTAAGCCTGCCAAATTGGAGACATTTTTTTTTAAAAAAACGAGCAACTACAGAGCTTTCTAATGCTTACTCAATATGGATACATATCTCAACTTTCTAACAGAATTTCTGATCATTTTTCTTTTTCCCAACTGTGTTCTCTCTCCAAGATGCTTACCTTTCTTTTCTGTTTTCAAGGGCCTTATTTAGAAAGCTAAAGGGCCCTGTAGCTAGAGGAATGCTTGAACTTGCAATCTTTGTATTTCAGAAGAGCCAGATGTGACGAGTCTTTCATGGTTTCCTCACCTCTCCTACGCAATTTAAACTACTCTATGTAAACAAAAAGTCTTATGGCACCTAACATGTTTTATTCATCATGGGACTTACATGGGCTCAAAACAGATTGAACTCGTAAGTTTTTAAAGTTGCCACAAAACTCTTTTGTTGTTTTTGGTGCAATAGGCTAGAATCATGAAGTTGGAAGAAACCACAAGGGCTGTTGAGTCCAACCCTCTGCCTTGCAGAAAAATACAGTCAGAGCACTCCACTGACAGGTCGCCATCCAGCCTCTGCTTAAAAATCTTCAAAGAAGGAGACTCCGCCACATTATCAGCCAGTATATTCCACTGCTGAACAGTTTCCTAATAGGTGGAATCTCTTCTCCTGCAAGTTAAATCTATTGTTCTACGTCCTAGTCTCTAGAGCAGCAGAAAAGAAACTTTCCCCCTTCTCAATGTGACATACAGTCCTCCCCCAGAAATCTTCTCAGATCTTCAGCTTTGCTTCTACTAAAATAATAACGAGGAAGCTGTACCCATGTAGATTTCTCACACTTCTCTGAGCCCCACTGATCATTCCCTTGACCTGTCTCCCACTGTTTTAGTCCAAATAAAAAGTTTCAAAATCAATTAGCAGTTCCAAGAGCTTCCTAAATTTCAAAGATAGGACTCAGCTGACTCCTGGAAGCACTGGCTGCCTAGTTTCGATGCATGGCTGTTATATGTACAGTTTTATAAAATTATGCAAACAATAAAGGAAAAGTATTTAAGTTATAACGATAGAAATTTGAAAGCCCATTGCATAAACAATTCAGCCTTTACACAAATCACTAGAAGACCGATAAACTAGCCAGTTGATCCAGAGAACTAGCGAAGTCTCTTAGGTCTCATTGTTGCTTTCTATCAGCTATACATATACATTGAAACACAAATAACACTGTCAGTGATGGTTCATTGCAGTGGTAAACAAGTATGAGAAAATAATACATTTCAAGATTCACAAGCAGTTTGAAAGCAACTTTGTCATATAGGTACTGTAGATACAGTCCATAGTAAATATTATATCAGAGATGCCTAATCTAGTTCTTACAATTATCATAATCACATTTAAAAATACTTTCCAAATATTACTAGCTTCATGGTAGGCATTAACAGAAAAGGAGGCAGAAAGATGATTTTCCTCCCATTGGATATGGGGGAGGGGGCTTTCCTTTTTTAGTAGTTGATTTGGTTTTTATGTTAGGTGTTGACACAGTAAAGACATTCAATCACTGTTCCACCACTGCTCACATTTTTCTGCATTTTATTCCATGCTTTTTGTGGTCACTTGTGTTAACCAGGCTAATACTTAAAGGCAGAGCTGTGCTACTGCAGAAAGTAATTTTTCATATGATATGCCTGTGAAAGCCCATTGAAGAACAAAATTTATTCAAACAGCTCAAGAAGGTGATGGCAAACAGTTCTGATTCTATGCTTGTTTTGGGTGTTTTGTTTTTTTTACTGTTTAAGTGTGGCCTTGAACATACTATCTTGTTAAGATATAATATACAAGATGGTTAGCTATAGTAATTGTATATATTTGTTTTCTACCCAAGTGAGCTATTTAATTAACTGGGACTAGAACACTATCTTGAACCAGTTTAACCCACACCGAGGAAGGGTGTGTATGTTCATTTTCTTGCTTGTCACTTTACTGTCTGCTGTAGTAATTGAACTTGCAGGCTTTATTTGTTTAATATTTCTCAAAAATGGGACCCAAGGTGGTTCATAAATGGGTGAAATCAAAATATATGAATTAAAAATCTTTAATTCAGATTGCAGATATGCAGATATCCTAGATCTCTTAATGCAGATATCCTAGATCTCTTTAGCAGAGATCTAGGATATCTGTATGCCCATCCCCCTCCAAACACTCCACCTGGTCACGCCCAGTACTTTTTAATTTTAATTATTACATTTGGCCCTGCCATTGATTTTAATTGCGTCATTGTGTGTTGTTAATGTTATTGCTTTGTTTTTGAGTTATTTTGTTGTTGTTGTTATTGTTTTTACTATTGTATATTGGCTCGGCCTCATGTAAGCCGCACCGAGTCCTTCAGGAGATGGTAGTGGGGTACAAATAAAGGTTTATTATTATTATTTTATTAAAAATGAGTTCTAAATGTTAAAATACATTTAGATACCATATTAAACACCAGTACTTCAAAACAAGTGTGGTGTAGTTGTTTGAGCATTGGACTATGACTCTGGAGATCAGGGTTTAAATCCCTGCTTGTCCATGGGTGACCTTGAGCAAATCACACACTCTCAGCTTCAGATGGAAAAGGTGAGCCCCCTCTGAACAAATCTTGCCAAGAAAACCCCATGTTAGGTTTGCCATAAGTCAGAAATGACTTGAAGGCACACAACAGCATCTATCAATGGGATCAATAACCATGGTTTCACTTGTCCACATCTGACAAAGTAAGTTCTCTCTAGGCATTTTCTAGGACCTCCAGTGCAATGTTAAGGTATTTTCAAGGCAGAAATCATTCAGTTCAATTGGATTCATATTATCTCCAGATTCACTTATTTGCGCAAAGTCCAGGGACATATCCCTCATGGGTCGTACTGTATTGCAGAATGCTTTGTTGTAATGCCTTGCCAGTGGGTGAATACTGGTGATAATTTACCAAATGATAACTTGGTATTTTGTATATGCTGTCTTACATTCAGAACACCAGTTGACTGCTTCCCAAGGACAAGTGTTTTGTGCAGGAGGGCATCAGCATTATATCTCTTCTCAGAAATTTCATTTGTATTGAAGCTTGAAGTAGCAGGAATTTCTAATGTTGTTTCTTACATTTTTACTTTTTCCTTCCAAAGTGTAAATGAGAGGTATCCCTGGTTCTCAAATGTCCTTTTTTACATTTCCAAGGACTATGGGGAGGGAGATTATGTTAGTCACCAATATGGTTCATATATCAATACTTATTTGGGTGCCACTGTAAGCCAGAGTTCCCAGTTTAGCATTTATGGTGTTGACAGTGCATGAGGCCCATTTGATTCCTTTTATCTCTACAAGCCAAGAATCACATATGGGGTTTGTACTTCGACTTGTAGGAAGAGTGGTAAGACAGAGGTTCTGGCACAAATGACCTGAACACTTTTCTTTCTTCATTAGCTTAGCCATTTTTTCTGATGCAAAGAACCAAGCTGGTTGCATGTACCAGATTATCATTCATGAACAGTAAACCAGGATTTCTTGGAAATCCGCTCCTTATTGCAAGTAAACGTGGCTGCCGTTAATGGATAAATTTTGTATAACAACTTCATAACAGATGGTGTTGTCCTCTGCCAGCTCTTTAAACTGAACTTCTTTGCAATAAAAGGTAAAAGTTTTCCCCTGACATTAAGTCCAGTCATATCCAACTCTGAGGGTTGGTGCTCATCTCCATTTCTAAGCCAAAGAGCCAGCGTTGTTAGCAGACACCTCCAAGATCATGCAGTCGGCATGATTGCATGGAGCGCCATTATCTGTTTTAATTCGTATCCTGACTTTTTTGCAGTAAGTTTGCATGATTGGGTGAATTTAATGCACTTGTGAGTTAGCTCTATTTTGGAAGACAGGTTGTGGGAAACACTGCCACAGTCACATTGTGTCTTCATTATGAATCTTCATATTGTGTCTGATTCAGTCTGTGTCAAGATGCTTTACAATACACACTTTGAAGTGTGTTGATGTTTTTAAGTTTGCCAAGAAAGTGAGCTAACGTACAAGATTAGTTTGGTTAATAGAAGGGATTACTGAAATGGGACAGATTGGACATCCTAAATTATTGGAGACTCCTGCAGTGGAGGAGTTCCAAACATGAGGGTAAACCGAGTGAAGAAAGGACATGTTGCCTACCTGTAACTTGACTTTGAGTAACCATCTCTGAAATTGCACAAGTGGGGTTATTCTGCATCTGCGAAGAGCATCATTCAGAAATTTCTAGAGCAGGGGTTCTCAAATTCTGCTCTGTGGAGTCCTTTGGGCTCCACGAGTGATAGTCAGGGATTCCACTGTACCATGCTGCTTCTTGCCCCTTCTTCTTTCCTCCTTTCCTCATCCTTCCTCCTCCTACCACCCTCCCCTTCCCCCCTCCCCTTCCTCCCTCCCCTTCCTCCCTCCCCTTCCTCCCTCCCCTTCCTCCCTCCCCTTCCTCCCTCCCCCTCCCCTTCCCCTCCTCTCCTCCTCCCCTCCTCCTGAGATATGCAAGGAAATTAAAGTTTGGAGCTGCTGAAACTGCCACTGTCCTCCTGATGCACAGACCCTTTCTTCCTCGCCTCTCTCGTCCACACTCTTTTCCTAGCCACCCAATCCCACCTCCCTCTTCCAAAACCCTATTTCTTTGCTTCCAAAACCCTATTTCTCTCTGGGAGAAAACTGGCTTGAAAAGTGCAGGGCTTCAAGGCCAGTCCAAGGAGCCTGGAGTAGCAACAGCAGGTGGAATCAAGTGAAGAGTTGAGGGATAAGGAGGGTTCCCAGGAGAAACCACCGGTAGCTATGTTGATCAACAAAAGTCTTTGTTTACAAATCAGAACTGAAAATAGATTATGCTGGTCTGAGAGATTACATGGGAAAGTTGGGGAGAAAATACACGGGAGACATAATGTTTTCATGGGTGTCTATTAAACACTTTAACTTTAACAGCAGTCAGGCAA